TCTCTCTCTCTCTCTCTCTCTCTCTCTCTCTCTCTCTCTCTCTCTCTGTTTTTGGTGTCTTATGTAGTACCCTGGCTTCCACCAGTAAAACACCCTCCAGTTGGGACAACCTAACAGCTTTCTAGTAATAGTCTCTACAGTTGTAACATCCAAAAAAGTCTCTAAGACATTGCCAAACATTTCCTGAGGGGCTAAATCGTGTCCAGTTTAGAACCACTCCATTCCTGTTTCTTATGTAACTTTTGTCTCCTTTTTGCAGGTAAAGATCCTTTTCATGCCTGGGAAAGCAGCTTTCTTCTTGGGATACCCTGCAATATGCCTAGATTTTACTCCCAGTTTAATAAGAGCAAGTGAAAATGATGCAGAAGTGAAATGCCCTGTGACCCTGCAGTCTCAGGTTCAGTTCCTCTGTACTCCTCCTGATCTGAGTCTCAAACTGGGAGACCGGAAGTGTGGCATTTACAGATGACTCCATGCCAAACATATTGTAACCAGACCTCTTTAAGCCACTTATTACTGATTTCCACTGGTCAGTGTGAAAATCCACTCACCAAAGAGTCTGTCTTCCAAAGAATACATTGCCAGGTGATTGTGGTGACAAGACTCTGCATCCATGCGGGAAAAACTGAGCAACACATGCATTCCCTCTGGTGCCAACAGGGTCCAAACACACTGTCTGCAGACAGACACGTGGAGAGGATGTTATTTCTAGATAGAAAGTGACAATTGCTGTCCAGTTAATGGGTGGAGCCAGACTGGAGGTGGGAGTCTGGGGAAGGGTGACAGAAGGGGCTACTCACTGCTCACTGTCATAATACACGTGGAGACTTTCTGGGAAGTGCAGCTCCCCATCAGACCCGCTGACTATACCATCCTTTTCACTGCATGATGCTGGGAGGGAAAGTCACGGAATCAGGGTCAATGATGTTGGCTGACCATAATAGCCCCTCCTTCCAGAAGCTGAGGACACTGGAGCCTCCTGGTTATTCTTTATGTACTCTTTCACTCTTTATGAAATATTTTCCTGTCTTGCCTTCTGAGATGCCATATTCATTTTTGTTCCTTTTAGATCCTGCTTAGCCTTGGGATTCTGGATTTGTTTTTCTCCTTAATTCTTTCCTCTGACCCCATTCTGTGGATACAGATATTTCCCAGGTTCTATCCCAGCATTCATCTTCTCTCTATATTTCAGACCTCTGACCAGTCTCAGTCATTCCCTCAGTTTTGATTATTATCTCTGCTTTTCTAAACTTCAGACAGATTTTGCAATGGTCTCATAGCTATCACCCTGAAACTCAACATGCTGCTGATGGAATCTCTCTGGGTCAGCAAATCTGCATCTGCTTCTGACTTTATGACTTTCTGTATCCTTAGTATCTTATGCTCAAAACTATCAAAGAATCAAGTTTGTTTCTTTCCTCTTCCTTGCTACTGCTCATCAAAATGACTATAAAGTCCATTATTTTATCAGGAAAGTCTAGTTCTAATCTATTTATCTAATTAATCAAATTCTTATTGCTCAATAAAGTCTAAAATTTTTGGCTGACGTTTGAAGTTTTCATAACTTGCTATCAAGTTATCTTTCTATTCTTTTCTCTCATGAAACCCCATTACACATCCTTCATTTCAACTGTTTTGGCTGACTTACTGGTCTCTTACATCCTGCATTCTCTTACCTCCATCTTTCAATATCCATCCTTGGATAAGGATGATTCCTTCAACTAGATTTTCAGCTAGAAGCAGCCTCTGAGCTCTGAGGATGCTATTTTCCATATGGCATTTTGTAGGTAGTTTTATGGGCTCAAGGAACAATTGAAGATCTGAGCTAAAGAGGCCTTAAAGACCATCTGGTCCAACCTCTATTCTTTATAGATGAAGTAACTGAGGTCCAGAGATAGGAAAGAGCTTACCCAAAATCACAAGGTGAATTAATTGCAGAGCTACAATGTGATACAGGGATGAGTCCCCTATATAATGAAGGACACTTTCAGGGAGGTGTGTGGAACTTATTTACCACATCTGTACCACCTCTTTTCTTTCCCGAGTCTCTGATTCAAAGCTAGAGTTTGTCAAATGTTTGCTGAATTAGATGGAGCACTGAATAGACAAGAAAAGAAACAGGAGAGAATCCAGGGCATGTGATTGTCCAAACTGGCAGGGCTGCAGGTGTGCTTGGTAGTTTTATACCTAGTAGACATGAAAACTCTTGCTGAGGGTAACTTTTGATTATAGAGGAAACTGATATTCAGAAATGCTATATGTTAATTCATGCTCATGGTGGAGCAGACTACAAGGAATACCCACCTCTGGAGCTCTTTCTTTGATGCCCTGGGAAAGAAAAAGAAAAACACAACTCAAAGCTTAGGTATCACAAACAATATTTCAAAAAGTTGGCTCAAAAGTGCAGAGAATTTTTAGTCAATATACTATTATGAAAATCTACTCTTGTGGAAAGAACAGAAAGGATAAATGGCAAAGTATGAAAGGGGTCTTGATATAAAAAAGTAGATGGTTTTACTTGGTTTATTGAGTAGCCTAATTAAGAAACAGACAGTAATTAACCAGTGATTAACATGACATTTACACAGAACAGAAAGAGGTGATTGTACATAAAAATGGAGGCTAGAGATGGAAATAACTTTCCTACAAGCACAAAAATGTTTCTAGAATATCTACAACTTGAATTTAATGCTCAGGTACCTGATGCTGTGCCATATGCTCCACAACAAGTCGTTTTCTACTGAACTAATTTGAATGAACTGTTTCAGGAAAGGATGGAAGGCCCTTTAAGGCTGTTAGAAACCAGGTAAAAAAACAACTAAGTTGAGTTTGGAGGTATAAATGAGGCTACAATTCAGCCCCTGGTGTATGCATTCGCTGGCCTTTTCTGATTTACTGAACTTGGTTCTGTGCCAGGGCTTCTCACTACTAACATCGGGGATGAGATTATTCTTTGTGGGACGCTGTGCTGTGCACTGTTAGTATACTTAACAGCATCCACGGCCCCTACCCAGTAGGTGCCACTGCCTCCTCTCTAGTTGTAACAACACAAATATCCCCCCAAATAGTTTCCTGGGTGGCAAAATTACTACTGTTTTATGCTATAGCTAGCTGAACAACTGAGTTGCTGGAACAACTGAGAAATAAGTGGAGAAAACATATCTTCAAGTTGAAACTGTTTCAATTAAAGGCAAACTTGACAAAATAAAAAATGTATGAATTCATATATCATTGAACATTTTCTACTGTATCACATACCATATTCAGCTCTTGTTTTTGACAACAAATTTCATAATCTTTATGCACCAATTGAGAACAGAAGTAGACCTCTTTACTCTGGTCCTGACTTGGCTAGACAGCTGATGATCTGCCTTAGCAGAACACCAACTTCTTAACCTCGCATAATGGCTTTATTACCAGTTTGGATGTGTTCACGGATCCAGGGAAGCACTTTACTAAGATCTGTGAAGATCCCAGGGGACCCTTGCTCATCTTTCTGCCTATTGTTTCTCCAGCTTCGACCACAGCCCAAACCCCAGGAAGTCACGCCAGCCAGAGTCCAGGTTCCTTTCTTATTTCTGCACATGAGTGAGCCACCTGAATCTCCCTGAAGAAGAAAGAAGCTTCTTTTACCATCATTGTCAGTGTTGATTCCCTACGGTGCTCACTCTTTATCCGTAGGATACTTAATAATTGACCTCAGCTCTTGATCAACGGGAGAACAGAAGACCAGTAAAATTCCAAACATCTACAAACTCCAAATAAGAAAGCTCCATCCATCCTGTAGGGATGAATCCTGAGCTTATTCTTGGCATTATTTCTATTATTTGGTCTTTTTGGAAAAATCAGATAACCTCCTCTGAACACCCCTGCTCAAAACAGATTGTTTAAACTTTCCCTTTATTTTGACTTTATTTTTCCTTTTTACTCTGGCTCTTCTTTCCACATTCCAGGTTTAGCTGGAATCAGCCTTCCTGAAGCCCCTCACCTGCTAAAAAAGCTGAGGAGAGATCTGCCTGAGCGGAGCCTGTCAGCCCAGCCAATGCCACTCACCTTACATGCATCCCTCCCTCCATCAGGGGAGCCTGTGCAGAGAAAGGTCTTCCCATTAAATGGCTTCTTTAGGGTTAACAGAGCTGCCACACACTCCTTCTTGGATAAAATAGGCAGGTTCACCTCCTGCAGGACTTGTGAGAGGATGCCATCTGTAACACAGGACAGGAGCCTCAGCAAGGCACACTGACCCTTTCTGAGTTGAAGATGCCCTATTCACCTCATCAACTGGATTCAGGTTTGTGTCCTTTGGAAAAACCTAAATTTCCAAGTACAATGTTACATTTTTTATCTTTCAAAATGTTGACATAACTGTTTAAAAAAAGTAGATTAAAATTCTATTTTCTGATCGCCCACCAGAAAGTTCTAAACTCTGATTAAGAAGAGTGGCACAGGTATTCTTACCTTCAGTCAAGCGGCCCCAGCCTGTAGTTGTACAAATAAATCCAGCCTCAAATCTTTCCCCTGGTTCTGGAAGACACACAGGTCCCACCAACTGGCCTAAAAAAAAAAAAAAAAAATCAAAGCAGTGCTCATCTCATTCACAGAGGACAGGACAGGATACCATTAGCCATTCACCAATTTGCATCTAGGTAGTCCCCAAAGACCTTGGTGAGAGTTGTAATATCTGCTTGGAACCTACTGGGGTTACTTATCAGACAAAGATCCTCTCCTTTCCTGACTCCACATAATTCTATATCCAGAACTACAAGCAAAGAGAGTTTCAGGTAGAGAACCTTCCAGCCTAAATCTCTATCTCAAAACACATGATTTAGAACAGCTGGGTACATGCTATATAATATGAACTGCAGGGAATTATGAGTCAAAGGTCATGGGAACAGGGGGCATTCAAATCAGGGTGAATTTCAAATGTTTACCAAATTGGAAGGTCCCAGCCATTCTCAAAATGGCAATATCATAGTCCATTGGTTTCTTGATGGTGAATCTTGGGTGTACAATGATGGTTTCAATGGTGAGGGTTTGCTCTCCTGGCTCTTCCTGGCTTAAGTCATGTTCTCCAGCAGTAACGTTCAAAGTTGATGCAAAGTTTCTATGAAGAGGGAGCAGTAAAATGGTGGATTTCAATGAAACTCACAGCACAGCTGCTGACAAATTTGTCTCTTTAAAATTATATAGATAATGTGGGTGGTAGGGTTGCTGAGCAAATGAGAATGATTCCAATGCTATTAGAAAAACATGCAGAGATCCCCAGTTTCAGTGCAGAATTAGTAATTCTGCCACTGGCCTCATACGGAGCAATGATATGATAAACTTAACATTTATTATCTCTAGATAATCAATTCTGATTATCTAGAGATGCATATACATTGTAATTCAGGCTTCTAAAGTCTAGGGGACCATATTCAGCTATCCTTAATACCAATGAAATCCTTTGAGAATGATTTGGGATTCCCACTAAGTATGCTGCTTCAACGTCAAAGAATTCATGCAGAGTGTATATTATGAAGAATAGCATCATAACTCTAATGTCACAGAGAGCACACACACTCAAGGGTTTAGAACTAATTACAACAAGGGAAAATTGGGATCTTCTCCTTACCTTCCTTATATCTGTGATTTAAAGACCTTATATGACGTGGAAAAGACCCCATCTTCCTGGGTAATCAGAAAGGAGTTTGGTAGGATTGTTGAGATGGATGAAGAGCTTTGGCTTACCATCTTTTGGAATCCTTCATCTCTAAGATTGATACTTTTATACAAAATTAGAAAGGGCATCATTTTCTCTTGGTATATGCCTCTGAATTTTGACTATATTATGTACCTAATCTAACATACAGCATCTCACTAGCCTACTGTCTGCTGCATTGTAGAGAAATTATCAGTTGACTATTCTTTTAGTCTATTAGCTCTCCGGTGGTAGGGATTGTGTCTCAATTTTTGTATGTTGGCACTCCCTGGTGCCTAGCTGGGCATCCAAAGAAATTTTGCAGACTTAAATGAAAGAGGACAAAAATGGAGACAGGATCTTGATTACAATTTAGTAAAGTATTTTACCTCTGTGAAGAATGTGTATTTTCAACCTAGTTGAGTAGCATCTGACAATGTCACCAAGCCCCATTTGTGTTATAGCATTAGAGTTTCCCCCATATTTTAAGAGTCATCACTGATGATTCCAAGGGAGAGGAAGGGGGTGATCTGATTTTCTTCCTTGAGTGAGTCCATCCCTACCTGTTTGCCACACAGTGAGCAGCTGTGATCACCCACTGTGGAGAGATGATGGTTCCTCCACAGATATGCTTCTGCCTTTGTTTCAGAGATACCTGAATAGTAAAGACCTTAAATAGGTACAAGTTCATGCTCAAGGATTCCCCCCTTCCCCAAATCTGACAACTGAGCATATTCTAAAATATACACCCAGATACTCACTCATAATTTCTTAAGGGGTAAAATGCATACACTACAGCTCAGAAAGAAGGGCAGTGCTGGAACCAGAACATTCCCAGCCTTGGTCTAGATAAGATGTAGTTAATTTGAAATGATTGGCTATAAGAGTTTTAGTAGAGTTGGTAGTTAGAAATATTGGTATTTATTTCTTTATTTGGAAAACACTGTTGACCCAGATCTGTGGCTCTGACAGTATGAACATTACCTATGAATGAAGAAAAAGAAGTAGAAAATGTAGCAGAGTACAGCTGTTTTGGGAAAAAGGCAAGTTGTAGACTTGGGAGCCTTTCAACACATGCTCCAATTCTCCAAGCCTCTTAGAGAAATAGTTTGGACCTATAATTTTCTCATACTTTTAATAAACTCTTTGACTCTTTTATCTTTTTCAAAGTCATTCTGATTCTACCTCTCAAGCATACTTTTTATCTTTGGTTTATCTTATTTATAATATTTTATTTGATTCTAAAATGACTTAAATGTACAATTAAATACTTTTAATGACAATATTTACATTTTTGGAATTAGAACAAAGCAATTTATTAGAATTGTCAACTTCTGACCAAAAATTATTTAATGAGAAATCAAAGGAAAAGTAATGCAGAGAGGGCAATGGTAGAGCTCAGGCATGATTAGCATTTGTGAGACCCTGGGTTTGATCCCCAGCATGAGAGAGAGGGAAAGAGGAAGAGGAAGAGGGAGAGAAGGAGAGAGGGAGGGAGGGAGAGAGAGAGAGGAAGAAAGGAAAAGAGGGGAGAGAGAGAAAGAGAGAAACAGAGTGAAGAGGCCAAGAATAGAGCAAAGAGCAAGGAAGTAAAAGTCAATGAATTACTGTTACTAGGAACTGAACATGGACTTCTAAATTGTCTAGAAAAACACCTGATCAAGTAACTAACTGATCAGTCTAACTATTCTATCAAGTATTTAACCAGTTAATCAAATGACAATGACTCAGTTAATCAGTCAACCTCCTGAACACAAACTTAATCAACCAACCATTAACATTTGTTCATTGACCTAAAAGTTATGACTTATCCATGAGAAGTAAAAATAAAGAAGGATTGCTTTAAATGGAAATTTAAGAAGCAAGAAGATAACGTGACCTCAAGGGTAAGGAAAATCGCGAGAGTTTCAAAGACAATAGATGCAAACCCTGGGGCTGGTGCAAAAGCACAAATCCATTTTCATGTCATAGAAGGATCAGGAAATTAAACTGAGGTAGAATTCCTAGGACATTAGATACTAAGGAGGCAGTATTCTTGATTACTCTCTGAGAGGTCCTATTATATATGTGAGAACCTTACACCCCAAACACAAAGTGGATTCTCTGGTCTTTATAACAAATCAAGTATTTTTAAAAATATACTCGTTCAATCAAGAATTGTTTTTTAAATAGTAAATTCATTTTTTTTAGCTTCTTGAAGTGGTATTTTTGTCTTAAGAGTTGAAAGTTGTGGATTGCATTACTTTTAATAGTTTGTGACTCAAGTCAACAGTGCATATAATTGTTCTGAACAAACTTTTTCTGGAACTCAATTGATGTACATCATGAGGAACTTGGATTTTTGTATGCACTCATAAGATTGTTAGTGAAGGACTAGACAGGATGGAGCACTGAAGACTCAATTATTCAGGAGATCCAGCCCTGAGACATCTCACAACTCACATACCAGAGAATGTTTCTTGAGACTCACCTGCCAGGGGTAAGAACCCTTTTTCACTTGGCTTCCCCCAACAATGCGACTGAAAATGTTAAAGTAATTCTGAGGCCCTACCTTAGCCAGATTCTTCCCACATTCGGTACCTGGGGAAAAAAAAAATAAGACAAACATTGAGTGACTAAATAGTTTTTAGTACTGAGCAACATAGGAAAGCCTTCTGAGCAAGAAAATTCAACAAGACAGGGAGCAGAAAGATCACAAGATGATTCTAAGTTAAGTTGTTGGGATTTGCTTTAATTTGCAGTAAATTGCTCAGTTTGTGTCATGTAGGACAAGTATATCATAAAGGGATATACTTTCCTGAAGTATGGAGGAGGTCTCCAGTGGGTTATTAGGAATGCAGACCTCTTTTGATTCTGAGCTCTCTAGCCCCTGAGAGTTTTCTCACAGCACTCTGTATTCTCTTCTGTGATATCTATCATGCACCATTATGGCTATTTCTATGTCTTTCAACACAACTGTACAGTGGGATCCTCAAATATAGGAACATAAGTCTTAGAAATACTGACATCCACAACATCTACCACAATTCCTGAAGAATAAAGTTGTTCAACCAATTGTCAGTGATAACATCCTCTGCTTTCATTGCAGTTGTGTGCATATTTCTCTGTTCCACCCATGAGACTGAGTCTAAGACTGCAGTCTGTGGTGCCAGTCACACAGTCATATATTAACAAATGCTACTGGATTTATATCTCTGCTGGGATGGAAAATGACACAGTGTTCAAGGACTGTGGAGTGAAGACAGTGTCCTGATTCACATACCATAGTTTAGAATAGAAGGTTGCCAGGTAATAAGACAAATCTTTCCTCTTTATGGAAAAGACTTTATCCCTTAAAAAGTTGCATTCATTTGCACTCCGTGGGCTTTTTTGACTTCTCAAATAAAAAATAGGTTAGATTAAAGATACTGACCTCCACCAGGTAATTCAGAGATGGCATGTCACATGTTCTTCCTGTAGGTCTTTCCACATGATTTTAGGAGGGTTTATAAAGCCCTGTCTCATAATCTACCCACTCCTTTGCCTAAATAAATCCTCTCATTTACTTCTGAGCTTGGAAATCATCTCAAGTGAGGAGTCGTCCTTGATTTCTTAAAACTGGGTTAAGGGTCTCTTCCATGGGTTGTGTAGCAATCCTTCTCCCCCAGCCCATCACTTAATCATTTTTACCATGCTATACTTGTACATTTTGCTCTATCACCAGACCATGAACTATTTGAGGAAAAGACCTACATCTTATTCATCTCTGTATTTCTTAGGTTTAGCACAATTCCCAGCATTAATTTCCCATGGAAATGAAGTGAGTCATCAAAATGTTTTTTCTTTAGAACATATCTCTAATAACACAGATATTTAGATAAATATGCTAAAATATAAAACCTCTTTCATAGGACTCCCTGTTTAATCTCCATTCCATGCCTAAGGATCAAGCATTGTTATCTACGCATTTCAGATGAAAAAAATAAAAGAATCAAAGAGATGCTCACCTAAATGATAGCAGTGCATGAATATAATGCTCAGGTTTTTTTTTTTTTTATTCTGAAGCCAGTGGGAGTACGATGTTGGATCAACATCTTATTTTCTAACTGCTTCAGCTGAATGAGTCATAATTACTTTAGATACAAAATTTATTGTTTCCTGAACTCACTAAAGCAAAGACAGAAATTTATTATTTCCTGAACTCACTGAGGCAAAGACAGAAAACATAGTGGTTCTTTAGGCTGGCACAACTCTGACCACAAAGAAGCCTGCCAAGAGCTATTTTCAGATTATGATAATCACAAGGAAAAGACTATTTCCAATATATCACAGTGAACATGCTTCATATTTCCTAGTAAGATAATTTTCCAAAAGATTACAAATGCTTCTAGACCTATGCTTATGTGTAGAGTTTGCTCCATGAAAGATGGTACTGTGAAACATGTCCAAATAAATAAATAATCCCAATTCACTTAGTACACCTAAGTGAAACAAACTTAGTTGCATTCCTTAAGTATTTCACATGCCGATTGTAGGAGCAAAATCAAAAAAAATTTATTGAAGAAACAATCAGATCTCTAAAACTTATTTGCTTGTTCAATTTTTCCAAAATAATATGGAGTGCAGTTGTGATGCCCATTGTCAGCAAAGGTGGTTCCTTCAGAGAAAGGTAGTTATAGAGCTTATTTGGAACTTACCTTTTGGAAGAGGAAGATTTGCAGATGTGCCTTGTTCCAAACAGACCATTCCTAGTAGCAAAATCATCTTGTTCCAGCTTACAGGCATTTTGAAACTCAGATGCCCCTGAAATTTTAAAGACACTAAGGAGAACAAAAGTAGAAATAAGCCAATTTAAAACAAGTTCATTCATTAACTAAGGCATGAGGCATTCAACCATGCCCATATGATGTTTCTCAATGTGGTTTCTTGCAAAATGTAGAGAATCAACCACAAAAGCAGAGTCTTCATCTAGACTTATGTATTCATTACACCTACATCAGTCAGTTGCTTCCCCTAGAAATGTTTCTGACTAACAAAGTGTCTGGCGTCTAAGGTCTTCATTTGCAAACATTACTTACTCCGTTGTATAGGTTACTGTTTTCCAAAAGAGGATTGAATACCAAAATTGTCCTTGTTTGCAAGAGTAGACTTCCGTACCTGTTTGAAACAAGCATCAGAATGTACTAAAACATTTTATTTAAATTTTGTTTCCCAAATGTAACTAGATGGCTATGATTGCCATGTGTTAGAGAAGGAGGGGAGAGAAAAGAGACTTGGGTAGTATACTCAGGAATTCATGCTACTAGACAGTTGTTTTGGATACTGTCCATCAGGATATCTGTGAATCTACATTGTCCCACCATTTTTTTTTGTATTTCTAGAAGATAAACACTAAATATTCACATTTACTACTAGTAGGTGTGTAGGCACAGGAAAGTAGCTATGCTTACTTATAAGTCTTCCTCTTTCCTGGCTAAGATTTTGACACATCATTATTGTGTAAGAAATGAATAAGAATTGATCAATGCCAACAATAGCCACATAAGGATATGAGATTTTTATGTCAACTTTTTAGAAATTGCCTTCTCAAAATAGCAATTGTCAGACTAAAAGTCCATAACTTTCTTGTAGCAACATTTCCAACTTGAAAAAAACAAATCTATATGAAGAAAATAATGTAAGTGCAAAATAAACATTTTAAACCTAAAATTTATGAGTGCTGCATATTTAGGAAAAACAGAAAGAAGGAAAATCAAATCCCTCGTTGTGGCATCATCCTTAACTTATGCTTCTTAATTCTGAAATCAAAAATTTGTGACTGTTAATTTGGGGGTTATATCAATCCTAAGAGGTATGTAATCAATCAATGCCTAAGCCATAATCAAAATCCAATCTTTCTTTGACAAATACTTTTAAAGATTCTATTAGATTTCATCAATCACTTTTCAGAGTAACTTCAAAAGGAATATGGCTCTTTGGACTCCAAAATTCACTATATCTTGTCTAAACTTTGTGTACTATGTCTCATTTCCAAATAATTTCTGCCCTTTTAGAATCTATTTTTTATCAGCAACCTCATTATTTTTGATTATCCATAAGGCACTTTCTTATTGCCCTTAATTATTTTATAATTCAATTTGTAATCTTTATCTTTCATTTGTCTTCAGTTTCAAGTGTATCATCTTTTGTTGCAGCAAGGAATAAACCAGGTAGACTCAGCAACTCCACTTAGGGATTGGATTAAATGACCTCTTGAGAACTATGATCTCCGGTTCCTGCTCCAGGTCTATGATAAGAAAGATATGTTAAGTAAATGAACTCATAGCAATGCTGGAAAATCAGAAAGTGAAGGGAAGATTTTAGTATTCCCAAATTATGAATTATTTTAGAAAGATAAAAAACAGATGGAGTCCAATAGAAGGAAGAACCACAGCCTTACATGTCTGTTAAGAGAAAAATGCTGACAAAGTTTCAGAGTGATAGAACTTCAGAGGCAGCAGCAAAAGGAGCAGGAAAAAGGTTCAGAATATTACCCAGGGTCAATGTTTGGGTGGCCCAGTAGATTTTAGACATATGAATTCTTCCCACTCCAACTCACTCCAAATAAGAATCACTTACAGTGTTTTCCCTGGGAAGGATGTGTGAGGGAGTATGTGGACCTAAAAGGCAAGGCACATCTCCAGGTGGGTGGCCACATGCAGGAAGAATGAGGACAGGTTCAGAAATCCAACTCCTGAACTCCAGGATAATACATCCTGTCCCTTTCTCAGGAGCACTGGAAATGGCTGTGGCAAACGTTTATGGCATTCACATCAAAGCTTAAATAGATAATCAGAAGAAAATGGTTGAACAACGATCAAGAAACAACTAAAAAAGAAAGAAAAAAAGAAACATTTGATTGCTGAGAGTAAACAATATGATGGAGGAGATACACCAAATGTAATCATTAGAATATCCAATGTCCATGGAAACACAGTTTACCAAAAGCAATTAGAATAAAATCTTTAAAAAAGTATAATTAATTTACTGAAAGGGATATGAGAAAATATTGCAAGCAGAAAAATCCATTTCAGGTGAGAAGATGTTGCTCCTGGTGACTCCACTCTGGCACACCTCCATCCAGCATGCCACTTCAGGGGTGAGCTGGTGCTTGCTGGGGAAGCAGCGAGGCTGGTTGTGCTTTGTCTTGACCACTAGGGGCACGCAAGTTCCCTGAACACCAGCAGCTGGGACTGTGGCTGTGTTTTGGGTGTTAGGCTCATCTAACTGCTTATTTTAGGCACTAAAAAAATAAAAATTTTATTGCTGAATTTCTTCTAAAAAAGCAAAACCCTCAACTGATGGGTTGAACATCAAAATGTATGCAGGGAGTTCTCTATCATTGAGCCTGGAACAGCACTGAAAGTGCCTAACACAGTACAAAAGGTCAAAGAGAAGGAGAAAAAAATTTTTACTTTATATATTTTTTATTTGTTCTAATTAGTTATATATGACAGTAGAGTGTGTTTAGGCACTTTGCATATCATACATAAATAGTATATGATTTCTCATTTTTCTGATTTTACCTGTTGTAGAATCACACTGGTAATGCAGTCATATATGTATACAAAATAATAATGTATGTTTCATTCTACTATCCTTCCTGTCCTCATACCTGCTCTCCTCCCTTCACTCCCCTCTACCTAATCTAAAATAACTCTATTCTTCCTAAGCACTCCCACCCCCACTGCCTTATTGTGAATTAGCATCCACATATCAGAGAAAATATTTGCCCTTTGGGTTTTTGGGATTGGCTTATTTCACTTAGCATGATATTCTCCAACTCCATCCATTTACCTGCAAATGTCATAATTTCATTCTTCTTTAAAGCTGAGTAATATTCCATTGAATATATATAACACATTTTCTTTATTCATTCATCTGTTGAAGGGCACCTAGGTTGGTTCCATAGTTCAGCTATTGTGAATTGTGCTGCTATAAACATTAATGTGGCTGTGTCACTGAAGTGTGCTGATTTTAAGTCATTTGGGTATAAACGGAGGAGTGGGATAGCTGGGTCAAATGGTGGTTCCATTCCAAGTTTTCTGAGGAATCTCCATACTGCTTTCCATAGTGTTTGTACCAATTTGCAGTCCCATCAGCAATGTATGAGTGTGCCTTTTTTAAGAAGGGGAAAAAAATTAAAGGTAAGAGATGAGAAACATTGATTGAGAAGTCCAACATGTATTCAGTAAAAACCCCAAACAAAGAGACCAGTAAAGTGGGAGTGGAATTAACTTGCTAATAATATAATTAGAAAAAAAATTTAGTGCTGAAGAGAGTCAAACATTCTCAGAAAGAAATGTCTCTTTAAATATCAAGCATGAAGAATGACAAGAAACAACTACTTCCAAAGTCATGAAATGAAATTTTAAAAACAAGGAATATAGAGACTATCCTAAATTTTCACAAATAACAACAATTATCTATAGAGGAAGCAAGTACTAACACCAGACTTTTCATTAGCCACACTAGATACTAAAAGATAAAAAAGCAACTCTTCAAAAAGTTGTGTGGTGGGAAATAATCATGCATATGGAATTCTATATCCAAATAATATATGATTCAAGCAGGAGAAAAAAATCCATTTTCATATCATGGAAAGACTCAGAAATTTTAATACCCACCTTTCTGGATGAAGAGAGAGTAGATGGGGACATGTGAAACCTGAGGAACAGGAGTGAGTAAAGGAACAAATAAAAGTCATTTATTAGTTTAGATAATTGTTGGTCAAACACTTCATAGCTAAATTTCTCGATGATTTAACACGTGAGATGGGGAGTAGTAAAAGTTGGAAGAGAGAGAGGGACAGACAGGACAGATTCTCGTCAAGTTCCAAGTTAGGGTTTAAGAGCAAGTTAATTCCAGACATTGATAGAATAAGTAAACAATATATTAAAGTTTGTAGGGTCAGGGATGTAGCTCAGTGGTAGAAAGCTTACCTAAAGTGCAATACAGTCATAACTATAGGAAAAGTAGAAATGAGGTACATAAATTCTGTGTTATTAGGTTGAAAGCAATACAAAGAAAAATGAATTTCAATCTAACTGGTGTAAATAATAATAGGAAAACAACAACCAAAGCAACAATAACAGAGGAAAAATAATAAAAAGAAAACTCAAAATTAGATACCATCACAATAATGGTGGTATTCATTGCAAAACTGAACAAGTTTGATCAATATGGAAATATGTGCTCTCGAATATTGCAGATGGGAATGAGATTGACAAAAAACAATTTTAAAGGTTTTATAAAAATAAAAAGTGAAATTCACAGGAACTTATAGCAGTCACAATCATTTATATATCTAACAATACAGTGTTGAAATATTTAAAACAAAACTAACAGGAATACGGTGAAATGGGGGGAAAGTCCATAATTATAATGCAAGACTTTGAGGAACTGGTAGGTCAAATAAATAACAAAAAGTGTGATCTGATGCTTATTAACAAAACATCATTCCTTAAACAGTGCTAGTTGTCTTTAAGGGGCAGTTGGCAGTATCTACTAGAATTTAAATTGTGCAAATCTTTTGATCCACTATCTCCCTTCTTTGTGTACATCATAGAGAAATAGTGTTACCATGAAACATGAGAAGGGCTATAATTAAATGAATAATAAATACATTGAAATCATATGAATCATTACAAAGAATGAAAAAGATTAATACATACATGGAATTGTCTAAAATATTTTTGAAAAAAATTATGACATTAGCATCCCTTATTAAAAACCACATGGAAATT